TGAAAAATTCGGAGACGCGAACTGGGGAAATAGAAACATAGGGCTAGGCAACGCATCGGCGGATCCAGAGGTGGATAATGAAAGGACGTCGAGGCAGAGAATCAAAGCCCGAATCTCGACCAGCACAAATTTACCTGGGATCGACAGGGTGACACCGCCACTAGTGACGCTACTAGTAGAAAACGGAGCATCATTAGAAAAAGCCTTGAACAACATAGTGGGCAGTATAGGAGAACAAAATGAACAGATATCCATAAGAATGAGTGAACTAGAAAGAGCAGTCCACGTTGAAAGAGAAAGTCTGCGGGAAGAAATAAACCACAATAGACAAGAAGTTGGTAGAAGCGAAAAACGCTTGAAGGAAAGAACGGACATGCACATGGCGAAGAACTTGTCGCGAATGACAAAAGAAGCGGAACAGAGAGAGTTACGCTTAAGAGACGACATGGAGAAGTTAAGAATTCAGTAAGAGTTGTCTCTTGGGACTCTTGACACAAAAATAGATGCGATGATGGAGAGGCGAACTCAGGCTATCATGGATAGGTTGGACGGGCTACTAGGCAGCAAGGGTGGACCAAAAGAAGGGGAACCGAACTCGGGAGGTCCCAGCAGGGAGCCGAGGGTGAACTTCAATGACCATCAAAGGAAGAGGACATATGGATCCACTAGAGGTAGGGGTAGTTCAGCAGGCTATGCCACAAGGGATAATAGAACTTGGGGCCCAAACAATAGTGCAAGTTCAACAGGGAACAGACAGACCTCAAAGGAACGACCGACGCAAGGCACAAATGCGACTAGGAGAGGTGATTCCGGTAACAGGAGACATGCGATCCAGGGAGGAGTCATGTGGGCCAAGGGGGAAACAGCCACGGCAATTCGGATTGCAGGGATGCACCGAATACAGAGCAATAGCCTTTGAACCCCTAAACAGGTCTTTGGAGACATTCCTCACGAGGTTAATTAGAACTAATGAACGCAGTGAAAAGTCTAGAAGAGTCTTTAAAAAACCAAGATGCTATAAAAACGAATCTGACGGCTGCATTGACATCTGGATAGAGGTGATGAAACTGCATTTTGAGGAAGAAGACCTGTCAGAAAGTAACTTGGAAGGGACAGCTCTAAACTGTGTGATGGCCAAAAAGCATTGTCAGCGGGATACTGCTGAGAAAATCTTTGAAATATTGTTAACTCGTTTCGGCTCAGGGGTGCAGGGACACCAAGCAATGATGCGCTTCGAGAAAAGGAGGTAACGAGAAGATGAAACGATGGACAAGTTTCTAGACAATTTGGAGATGCTTAGAAGGCGTAGCCAACCGGACGAGTCGAACAGGAGGATGAACCTGGTGGTAGCCTCAAAATCCCTCGATGGTGTAAAGAATGATGAACTTCGTACAATGTTAGCAACAAATTACACACCACTATCAACCAATGCGCCAACACCAGAGGAGTTGAGGCTCAAGTCAAAAGAATATCTTTTACTGAAACCTCCATCGAGATCTGGATATTGCAAGAACAATTATGGCAATTTTAACAACGGACCAGCAAACCAAGGGAACAACTGGTATAAACCGAGGGACGATATGGACAAGAGACGCTCTTGTGCAAATTGCAGTTTGACGGACCATCACGTGTCAGCGTGCCCAACTTATAAACAGCGCATGAAAGCAATAGGCTTTAGCCTCGAGGACGAAGATGCGTCAGATTTCGATCATGAAGATTTAATGTGAGGAGTAATTGCAAAATTCGGCCCGAGGTTTTTCTTTTGCAACTTGGAAGGTCATTTTAAATCGGATTGTCGCAATTCTGGGATAGTAGCAGACATCAAGCATCCAAGGCGCGAGGAAGCTTTATCGGGTGTGAAGGCCAGCAAGGCTCGCCTATTGAGTGAAGCGGAGGCGCGCAGAAAAGAAAAACCGCAATAGCTGGCGACAAAAAAAAATGCAGGCGGTAACAGAGGAGACATGTGAACCGGAACCGGTGACTGCGGCGGACGACTTCAAGATTGATTATAAGGCAGCCGCGAAGGATGTTCTAAATAGAGTGCAGCAGGAACTGGTAACGAAAGAGATCGAGCAAAAAGTGAAGCTCGAACTGGAAAATGAGAAAGTACAGGAGAAACTGAATACCTTCGAGGCAACAGAAATCGAAGAAACGAAGGCACCAAGTGGTTTGAGCATGAATCTTAACGTGATCTCCGGGCAGAGGTTCGGTATGGTGCCACATGGAAGCAAAATACAGTCAATAATCTCGGTAGCGGGACACCAGGTAATCAGAAATCTGAGCGAACCGTCAGAGTTCACTTTGATGCATCTGGATGCATATGCAGATTATCTAAGGCAGGTGGAGCCACGCACTGAATCGAGAGCGGTGCGAGCACTACTAACAACGGGTGGCCCTAGCACAAAGAAGCTTTTTGCTACGTGGAAATCTATGGACCGTATCAGGTGATGCTGAACATAGATGGAATCAGTATCTACACTAGGACTTATGTGACAACAGACTGTGACCAGATAGGGCAGATCTATCTGGGTGAAGAAGAACTCAAAGTCCGCAGAATAGGCCATGACGCCATGATGGAGCAAGACGCAGTACACATTGGATACGAAGCAGATGTGACTGCACATCTGCTCGACACCAACGGAAAGTAAATCAGTGGAAAGGTAGACAACTGAAGTCTCCCAATGGTTCAGATTCAAAACTACATTCTCAAGTAAAATTTCATTTCCTTTGATCGGAACTCATTGTTAGAAAACTTCTCGAGTTATATTCAATTATATTCATTTTAGAGTTATTAATTAGCTTAATTACTCTGTTTCTCAAGTGTGCTGCTATGTAAGTACCTAATTCAATTTTCCCGAGTGCATTTTATGATAAGTATGTTGAGGTAAGGCGAGTTTTAGGTTGATCCATCTGAAATGGACCAAAGTTCCATTTTCCTATAAAAAGTAATTTAACGGATTGTTCCGACCCTGTTTTTAACGGCGTTCGCATATTTTGGGTATTTTGAGACCTAAGTATGGGGACGTTCTTATTTTCTAGAGTGGGGGGGTATTCTGGTAGTTGCCTTTAAGCTGTAACGGGTTCTAGTCTCATGTCGCAAGTGAACCGAATTGGCTCCGACCGTTTTTGAGGTAGAAAAACACAAGAGATAGTGTCCCTGACTCTTGAGCCAATGGTTATAGGGCCTATTTTTCTTAAGCTTCATATGTGACCGAAGTAGGCGACTGTTACATGTCAAATTTTTAAAATTTCGAAGTATGACGTCATATTTCTGAGAAACGTCAGAATCGGCCACTTTGGAAGAAAACCAGAAAAAATCAGAACAACAATAGTTGCGACGAACATAACTACAAGAAAATCGGAATCGACGAAAACAGAAGAGTTTGCAGAGACCATTCCGAGTTGCAACGATTGTGCCGCTACAATCGTTGCAAGGCCGTTCACAACAACGGTGAAGGGTGGAAAAGCAGCCTTCCGGAAAGAAGACAAGGTTGTTATTTATCCGGATTCAGGAATCCGGAGGGGTCTCGGGATTGGAACTAAAACTGTATTGTATAATTTTGCTTCCCGGTTATGTCTTGATTTGACTTTATTTAACATCTGAATTCATTTTGCGACGATGAGAAGCTAAGAGTTGGGGGAAAGGGTTGATCCACCTTCGATGGAGATGATGATTTTTATCTACTGAACAAATACAATAGTAATATAATAAGTAGTAGTAGCCCTGTTTTTAGGAGTGACCTAGTGGTCTGGGGATACTGAGACCCAGCCATGAGCTCACTAATTTTGCATGTGAGTAAGTTAATTCGAGTGTTTTGACCGAAGCCGGAAGCAGTAACGTTTTTGTCGACCCGATGTTAGAAAGACCACCAAAGAACTAGCTTTGGTAGAGACAGTGAAAAGCATGTAGAGCTCTGTTTAGACGCTGGCCAGTCGTCTTAGAAACTAGCTTTAATTTCCGTCGATATGTACTTCCGGGCGAATGTTACACTTGGCATACAAATCACTGAGATAATATCAGTGATATTGCTGCGAACCATTTGACCGGAATGAAATTTCGGATTCTAATTCATTTTCCATGAGAAACTACAATTGTAAATGTATTTTATCATTCGAAAGGTATTGTTGTCCTGAGCCTAAATTTGAAAAGATATTTCACCTGTGATCATTTTTCGTAAAGTTACGGGGGTTTAAAGATTGCCATTTTGGCCAATTTGGGACAATTAACGCGCGATATATTTCGCGCTATGAACGCGTAAGCGGAGAGTTAATCCGTCTTAGAAATTGTTTCAAATTGATTGAAAGAAGCTTATTTGCCATAATTGATTTGTTACAAGGAGCGAAATCTATCCTTTTGTACTTAATATGGCGTGTGGGGGGATGATTTTTATAAAAAAAATTTCAAATTTTAGAAGAAAAAAAATTTTCATTTTTTTCATTTAATTTTTTAAAAGTTATTACTGCTCCATAAACATTAAAAGGAGGTCGGAACCTTCAGGGCTTCGCCCTGATACGAGCAATCTTGTTAATTTTATGACTGCTCAAATACTTGCTGTTTTGCAGATTTTACGTTTTTTGTGATTCTCATAAGAAAACTTAAGTTTATTTTTTTTTGAAAATTCCAATTCCTGTAGTTAGGAACTGTGAGAGTACTCTGAGAAGTTGCAAATCTTGCGTCCAAATGCGACTGCTCAATTGCTTTTAGTTTCCGAGATGTGAAGTTTTTCTGTCATTTCAAAAACTTACATAAAAAAGTACATCACAAAATTGTATGGTTTTTCAAAGTTTGAATTCATAAAATACTTGAATAAAATTTTTTACGAAATTTGAAAAACTAACCCTTTAAATGGGTACTGTCAGAGTACAGTCAAATGATGCAGATCTTATTTCCAATATATGCGGTTTTTCTAGGTGTTCGAAGCACCGGAGGTGAGGTGCGTTACACGTTAGTTAATTTTTATATCTCGAGTGTAAATGAAAATATGTTGTTTTTCAGAGCTGTAATCTCCCCTTTCGTCTCAATGTGGCTTAGTTTCAGTGTTCAAAATGATAAGCAAATTTGGTGCATGTGATTAGTTGAAATGTGCGACCACTTCTCTATTTACAAAGAAGAATTTGGTTTGAAATCGGTCGAAATAATATTAGCAACTTTTTTGTATCCGACAAAATCAAAAGAATGCAAAAGAAAAGCAACAGAAACGAAATGCTTTGCCGGAGATTGCCGGGAAATCACATCAGCTGCCGTTCTTCTGTCCTGCTTACAATGTGTCTATTTTGGATGTCTATCAAGACATCACATGAAAAACCATCTGAAGGCAAAAAAGCACTGTTTTGCAATCGATTTACAATTTTGCAATGTTTTCTGTTTATATTGTGATGACTTTATTTATGATCGAAATGTAGAGAATGTTAATTTTCGATTGTACCTGGATTATTGCCAAACGATGTCTTTGGACAATACATTAAGCCCCATCACAGAATGGAGTCCGGCATCTGTAACTGAGGTTGAACTGCTCACCAATAATTGTACTCAACATAATAGCATGTCGGATAATTCTTACTTTGGATTACGAGGATTGATCAATATGGGAAATACGTGCTTCATGAATTGCATTCTTCAGGTAAGAATTTGTTCCTCGTCTTTTGAATTGTTTTTTGATTTGCCCGTGAGATCTTGGTGATTCTCGAGCTGTGGATGTTTTAAGTTATTGTTGATGAAATTCTATCACTACACGCTATTGGGAAGTCTAAATTACAAGAAATTTACTTGGCATCTCTTGATATTGTCAGTTTTCTCCAAAACGAAACTGGTAGTTCTGAGATTTAGGGTTTTGTCGAAATACCAGGCTGCGGGAAGCTCCCCTGCATAACGGCTACTTTGGCATATTGACAATTACACATTCTTTTTCATTAATGCATCAAAACTTTTACTTTTGCCAGAAGCAAGTTTTCGGGTACTATACTTTTTTCCCATAAACAACTGCGTTCTAAAGGCTAATTTCGGGACTCCTTCACCTGTTCGTCCTCTTTGCAAATTCTACTCATGTCAGTTGCAAATAAAAAGCATGGCTGATTTTGTTATTTTAAATATCCGTCCTTTTCAAAATCTGCTTTTGGTGTTAGTTGTGATTTTTCCAACTCGATTTGTTAAAATTCTATTTTTTTTTGTGTCATTTTTTCGGCTTAATAGGCTTCGGCCTATTTTATATTCGCTTAGTGACCCAATTTTGAGTAATTTCAAGGGAAACATAATTTTTATGCTCACTTCTGGATCGCACAAAATGCCAAAAAATCTGAAATTATAGTTCAAGCTTTTCTTGACAGCTATTTTTTGGCTTCTCGTTATATTCCGCCTATATTGCATTGGCTTAGTCGCCTCTATTGCGTCGTTTCACGAGCTGTGAGTGTGTTTTTTGAGGGTGAGGGTGACTAAATACTTAATGTCGTAAAGTTTTTTTTTTTTTTTTTCGGCTTTTTCCCTTTTTTGGCTTAATAGGTTTCGATCAATATTACATCGGCATAGTGGCCGCATATTGTTTCATTTGACACGTGAATAAAGTTTGTGTTTGTTTGCTTGAGGGTGTGGCGGAATCGATAATTTAAAAAAAAAATTCGGCTTTACGGGTTTTTCCTTTGCTAAGGTATTTCCGACTCTGTTACAGCTTTTCTTTCGATGCTAGTTCTAGATTGTATTGTCTTGGCTCGTTTTTGTTTCAAAACCATTTTTATCGATAGATCTAGTTTTTTCGAAATTTTCGAAGCTTTTTTCAACTTAACGGCTTTCTTGTTTTGTATTGCAAGCGGTGCGAAGCTCAGCTTCGACTCTGTGTAAAATAATCATATATTTACTCCCAGCTTAAGCTGGGCATCTTGTTTAAGTCGTATAAGTTGGTTTTCCTGGCTCTAGAAAATGTGTAAAAAATAATCCAATCTGATTGAAAGAGTTCGTGTCACATGCGTATGTTTGAAAGTTTTTGAACGCAAGGTGAGTTTTTTCGTCACGTGATCAGCCCTGAAATTTATTAGATAGCATTAATGAAAACTTTAAGCTTGCCAAAAATTTGTGACGCAAAATGTTAATAAACGTATTCTAGGCTCTAACGCATACCCCGATGCTTCGTGATTTCTTCTTGTCGGACATGCACGATTGTACTTTACTACCTTGTTTTCTCGACCGACATTCGATGAGGTCAGATTCGAGTCAGTTAATGCTAAGTTCAGCACAGCGTCCAAATGGTGTCCGATCCACTAGCTCTGGATCAATGATGCCCCAGAACTGTCTGATGTGCGAGTTGAGTCACATTTTCCAAGAGGTTTATTCAGGAGCGAAGGAGCCCTTCGTTCCATACAGATTACTTCATCTCATCTGGACGAATTCCAGTCATTTGGCAGGCTATGAGCAACAAGATGCACATGAGTTTCTCATCTCAGCGTTAGGTTCGTTGCTTTTTTCATGTCTTGGGCATGTTAATTTAGCTCAGCTATTTTTTAATATGGAAATCAAATTTCGGTAAGCAAAGTTAGTTACCATTTCATTAAATATGGTATTTACCCTTGCGGTACTAGACTTTTTCCCGTAAAACCGTAAAGGGCTTTGATCACATGATGATCTTTAATTTCAAGATCTCAATTGTCAGCACATTGTACGTTTAAAACCTCGAGTTAATGTATCTAGAGTTCATGCATGACTGGGTCTACTGGTAGCAAAGTTTTACTGGTATCTATTATACTAATCTCATTCTGACAGACTGATTTCAAAGCTTAAAATCTTTTTGCGAAGAAGCATACGAATACATGTCAACACATTCATTTCATCCGAAATTGATCAGAAAAGCATAGACTGTGAAAAAAAAATTGATTGATATAACGACCTGCTACACCTACGCTTCGGTTAAAAATTGTTTGGTACATCAACAATTTGCGATTGCGGTCAGAATAATGCTGCTCTGACTTGCAGTGATTTGTAAGCTCGATGGATTCCAAATTCCCATTTAACTTCAGTTGAGCCACACAAGAAACAGTTGTTTGAATTGAGAAAGAAAGAAAGAAAGAAAGGAATTTATTTTTCCGATAGGTAGTTACATTCATTGACAGAATAAAAAACAAATTCAATAATAAAGTACTCATCGGAAGAAACAACTAACGAGACCATAAGGGTCTGCTAACAGCTGCCCTTGAATAGCAAATCCATGGTAAATAGCATCATGAAACAAAAGAAAAAAAATTAAAAAAAAAGTCAAAGATACATAAATTTCACTAGTACATAAACATTTTTAAAGTAAAACTTATAATGCGTATAAACAGTGCTCAACACAGCGCTGCATCCAATGTTTTGACGGCAGATCTCTCTGGCTGTACACTGACATCAATTTTTTTTTGAAAATTTTTCTATAAGTTTTGATGGAAAAAAAAATTATTGAGAAATTTTAGAAAAAAAATCACAATAATCATCATCTCTCTTAAACTAAGAGACTCTGGACCGTCATATTTTTCCACGTAATTCGCAACCCAGAGTTATAAACCCTTAAGCATTTACCCAAGTCCGTGAAATTTCTTGTATTTGATAATTAAAAACTAGAGTTGCCAGCTCGTTGTCACTTAACAGGTATCTATTTTTAAATTTATGATAAAAATTTTAAGTAGACATAAAGTTGATGCACTGTTAGCAGTTGATTTTCAAAAAGTTGTCTTCTGAGTGGTCACCACGTTTTCAAAATTTATCAATTTCAATATCTTGCTGAAGCATAAAAATTGGCAGCATGGCGGAAAAACTACAACAACAGTATACAAGAATGCCATACAGAATAGTTGTATTGATGTTACTACGATAGTAAGCTAAAAGCTGGTGTCGAGGTGTATAAAATCTTAGTTTCGAAATAATGCCTGATTGTTGCTTATCGCTTTTTTCATTGTCTATGTGGGACATTAAAGATAGTTTTGAATCAACGTACACCCCCAAATACTTACAAACCGGTTCAGTTTTTGTATCACAATTGTTAAATTGAAAGGTCATCGAGCTCGAACTGGAGGAATTTACATTCAATTGTACTGTTTTATCCACATTTATAATCGGTTTATTGGCCAATAATTCAGTTTACGGATGTTCTCATTGATCAAAAAGTCTGCGTGTCCCAATGCAGTTAAATTAGTGTCATCCGCAAAAAAAAAACAATTTCAGATGATTTACAGACATGAGACATGATTTATGTAAATAAGAAACAGTGAAGGACTTGAAATAGGTAGTTGAAGAACGCCACAGGATATTGTGGACCAGTTAGAAGGTATTCCATTTATTTCCACACGTTGCATTCTTTCCCTTCAGTACGAACTATACCAATCGTAGGTATTCCCTCTAATGGCGTATGATTCCAATTTCTGTAATAAAAGGGGATGTTGTATCAAATTCTTTGTTTTTCAAATAAAAAAATAAAGTAAATATATGTTGCTTGCCGTATGACTGCATTTTTTCAGTTAAATCAATAAGTGCGTCAACCGTACTATGCTTCGATCGAAAACTAAATCGAAAAGATAATTGTATATTCTAGTGAACATGGTTCGTTCAAAGATTTTACTCCAGACAATCAGGAGCGATATTGATCGGTTATTGTTTTCATCAACTCTGTTTCCACTAAAAGGAGGGTTAAAATTTCCGATGTTGATGTAAAAGTAGTTTGCCATTCCATATATTTCAAGAGCAAGATTTCAAAAGTGTTCTATGTCAATACACTGGATGCCACGTTTGAAATTTTTGTTTCAACTTAGTCGAACGTTTACACGTTATACATAAGAGCATAACGTTGTGTGAATTTCATTAAGTAAAAAAATGAATTTTGCACGTTTCGCCCCACACACATTTAGCCCCTCTTAAATTTAGTGACATATTTGGCCCCTTACACGTTTCACCCCTAATAATTTCACACATTTCGCCCCTAACTGATAACACAGTTAATTAACCGCCGCTATCTTAGTTCACGATTTGAGGGGCGAAAAGTGCCAGTACTTTCATGGGTGGCGAAATGTGTGAAAACCGAAATTTTTTGAAAATGTAACTATCAAAAAACTAAATTGATCAATTGCAATTATATTACTCTTGATGAAATTTTAACGTCTAAATTAATTTGAAATTACACAATTTCCATTTTTTGTGAATTGACAATCCAAACTTTGGATTGTGAATTTACAAGCAAAAGCTTTTGTTATATAACGAGGTACTTTTTTCGAATCTAAATTGCACAAGTTTGTGCTTAACTTAAGTGCTCAATTTCATTGGCGAGCGGTTTAGTAGCATGAATTTCATCTGCTTCATGGGAGCACCTGATTTTTAGTATGGCATGTGTGAAATCTCTAAGGCAGCAAATAAAATTGGAGCAGTGATTGCATCGTTTTATTTAGTATTAGTTGTTTCATAAGCATTTTTGGAGTGACTGGTGTTTACTATTGTGTAAATTCTATAAGAAGCAGAGGTACGTGAAATAGAAATGCCTCATAATGTGTGTTAGAGATTGGGTCATGGAACCTCCTAATTTTTAAAGTGAAACTAGAAAATTATGAAAATTGTTGCAGTTTCTACAAAGTCATTTCCCAGCGAAATAAAAAATTATCGGATCTACTTAACAATCTCCCCCCCCCTATTGTACCTACTAAAGAATCTCCCCCTTTCTTAAAACGGGGAGAGATTGTTAAGTAGATCCCTGTGGATCTACTTAACAATCTCTCCAACCCCCTCCCACCCTATTGTACCTACTAAAGAATCTCCCCCCTTTCTTGAAAGGGGGGGGGGATTGTTTAGTAGATCCAAATTATCTACTGCTGTTCTTTTTTTAAGTTTGGCTAGCTTAATAAAAAAATACCATCCTTTAAGATTTTTGAAACAAGAGCTTCAAAGTGATGTAGTTTTTTCTTGGAAAACCAAAATATGCAGAAAAAAATATAATCCATTTTTGGCTTCCTTGAGTTCATTGACCTTTTTAACCGCCTGTTGACTATGTTTAATTTTTGCCAATGAACAAAATTAGATAGAAATTAAAAAGAAACAGGGATAGCTTTTTTCCAATTAGTGTAGTTTCTTCTGCGTGGTGAGAGAAAAGGATCTGACGCACCAGCGGATTTAGGGTCCCTCCTTTGTAATATTTTGATTACAAAAATCTATTTTTGGCTGAATGACCCTCATTTTTTCTAAAGGCGCCTTTGGCGCCAAAATATACTAAATATTGGTCAAAATGGTGTCTTTATAGTGATTTGGAAGAGCTCACAAAATCAATGTGATCGACCTAAAAAAAAGGTCGATATAATTTTCAATTTTTTTTGTTGATAATCCGCCCCCCCTCGAGAAAATCCTAGATCCGCCCCTGATTTGACGTACAACTATAATTTAGGGTGTTCGACATTCATAGTAATATAGGCAAATTGGACAAAAAAAATTGTTGAAAAATGACTAGAAAAACAAAAAATCAGCTACAAATTTGAAACTATTTCAAAATTAAAAAAAATCTTTGCAGAAAATTTTTGAAAGTATGATTAAACTTTTTTTTTCAGACATTCTCCACGGTCACTGCAAAGAGGACAGCGACTATGGGTTCCTGCACAGTTCCTCTTGGCCAGCCAACTGCAATTGTATCATCGACCAAGTGTTCACAGGGGGGCTGCAGAGTGACGTCACTTGCACCGAGTGCCACGGGGTGTCCACCACAGTAGACCCTTTCTGGGACATTTCGCTGCACATCGGCAACAACTCTTCATCAGCATCAGAAGCGGGAGGAGCTTCTGCTGTAATGTTTGGAACAGGCTCGGAATTTTCTGCAGGTGGAGATGTTGTGGATAGCAATGCAGCAGCTGCAGCGTTGTTGATTAACCCTTCGGCTGAGTCGGCGCCAACTGTTTTTGAACTGTCATCAATCCGCCAACAAATCCAAGGCTAGTTGATTCAGTTTCAATTGTTTCCGTTTAAATCCATGAAGTATCTATTGTTTCAGTTGTTAAAAATGATAAAAACATAGGAATTGGAGTTTTTATCATTCATCAATTTCAGGAATAAAGATTTCGACAATCAATATTGTATAACAAAAGAAATTTTTTGAACCCAAAATTATCCGAACATTTCGAGACAGTTCTATTAGCGACTGAAAGGGCTGGAATACGATACGTTTTTTGACCTACAGCGAAATTTCTTCAGTTAGATTTTGCGTTGAAATTGCTCCTTAATCCTAATTTATCATTTCAACAGGGTTTAAACAATATTAGAAACAATCTTTGTTCTATGAAAGTATGTATTTTTTGGGAAAGAACTTTGATATTTTTGAAAACTTTATCTTAGATTTATAGAAAAATAAAAGTTTTTCAGAGGATTAAAAATAGATTAATTTAGGTAATTGACGACAGCATTCAAATGCAATCCTTTATAAAATTTATAGCAACCAATTTTATATGGGCGTTTGTTCGAAATGCATACTTTATACAGAGTTAATTTTCAAAAGTAATGCGTGGCTAGGGGGACCTTCTACGGTTGGTCTTTTGAGGTAGGAGTGTACTGTTGATCCTAGACATTTTTAGGAAAGTCAATCAACTCGCGAGCTGTTCCGTCGCCGAAGTCACTGGAAGAGTGTCTGAACATCTATACGCGGAGTGAAAACTTGGGAAGTGGTGCTAAAATCAGGTGCAACTCGTGCAATATCAATCAGGAATCCACGAAGCAACTTTCATTCAAGAAACTGCCCTTGGTGCTATGCTTTCACTTGAAGCGCTTCGAACAGACGTCCAAAGTGAGGAAAAAGATCTCGGATTTCATTTCCTTTCCTTACGAGTTGGACCTTCTTCCGTTCATGTCGTGCTACAACTCAAGCAACAGCCAAAGTGCAGCGACAGCAGAGGCTGCATTCAAGCACGCCTCATCATCAGCTGCATCTCAAAATGCCAAATCTGCCGACTCGATCTTTAGACAATCAATGGACTTCGCTCCTGGCGATTCAGGGAGTCCGGCGTTTCTCGGGAAAGATGCGGGGAAGTATGTTTTATACGCCGTTGTCAATCATCACGGCACTATTGATAGTGGCCACTACACTTCATTTGTGCGACTTAAAGGTGCTCAGTCTAATTCATCCACCGCGGCTAAAAGTGCGGATCTGAATGGAACTCAAACTGAAAAATGGATTCACTGTGATGACGCCGTTTTAACACTTTCGTCTAGAGAAACTTGTTTGCGTTCAGAAGCTTATTTGTTGTTTTACCATAAAAAGCATTTAGTGTTCGAATGATAAAATCGTTAATATAAAAATACTAGTTCAATGTTAACTTAATAGATGTTATAGATGTATTTTTCTCCTGAGTTAGCATCATGAGCCTGGAAAGAGTGATATAGTATCTTATAACTTTCTATTACCTGGATTTAATTCCTGAGCGACTTCAACCTAGATGTACTGCAGGTTTTTTCAGATAATTTTTCTCAAATCAAAGTCGACTTCTCGCTGATTAATTGAGGGATTGAATACGTAAAGCGAGCGTGTATGTCTATGTCTTCTGATAGGCTTATTTATCATTGTCTCATTCTTATATTTCAAGTTAAGCCCTGAAAATTTAGGTTTACTCCAGAAAAACAAGTTGTCGAAGTTTCTTATTTCCCCTTCAGAATTTTTTTTTTCAGAATTTTTTTCCTTTTTCGAAGAATGCTAATGTCGAATATACCTGGTGTTCTATTGCTATCGATTATGCTTAAATTCTTGGCTTCTGTTCAGATATTCTCATCCCAGCACTAATAAACAACTACACATATTGAAAAAAGACTGTTTTTTGGTCGGAACTTTCTGTGCTGTTAGCAACCGGCCACTTTTATTTTCATAGTCAGTGATTTTCAGTGACTTTCTTCAGTGATTTTCAATAAGTCAACCAAGAAGTAAAAGCTGGAGGTCATTTTTATTAGAATTTCGAGCATTTTTTTTCAGAAGTTATGGTTAATCAGCCAAAATTAACTCTACGTGTGAAAAATGTACCATGCTTTAAAGAGATCAAGTTTAATTTTCCACCCATATGTAGATTTTTGTAGTCTCATTTCCTATGGCTCATTTGTATGGGCTAGCTTGCCATCCAATATTTGTGATATATAGTAAAAGGTCCGAAGCTCCGCTTTGTCTCAGTTATTTAGATCAAAATTTAGGCTCAAGAGTTTACACTTAAGTTTCAAGGTTTTGCGTCATTTGATGGTTTAAAAATGGATTTCCAACAATTTTTGATCGATGCTCTTCAGCTTTTGTGAGTTAGGTTTTTTATGCCTCTAAATTGGCGTATGTTTTTTATTCCGACGTCGGACGAAGCTCCGCTATGCTTCTGTATTAAGTTAGATTTCTATCCAGTTTGAGGAACGCGTTTAAATTACGTTGATACTATTTGAAGATCGCACGGTAATTAGGTTTGGTTTCCCTAATTTTTTAACTGATCAACTATCACTTCTGCTTGGCTGGCTTATAAATTTAAAAAAAGTGACGTGCTTTTAGATAGCATATAACCGGAAACTTTTTCTTTTTTGATGTACATTTTCGCTACCTTGTTTTCAAATTCAATAGCAGAAGTGCTTAATAGTTTTTTAATCGAAGTATCTTTTCTCGTTTTTGTTCTCAAAAACAATTTCACGTTTTTGAAATTTCAAAAACTTTACGACAATTTAATCTGTTCTTTAAAATTTGATTATCTATTCTATATTTAAATGCGGGCTTTCTTATCTCGCCATTTTTAAGCTTTTTGAACGTATTATCTTAGCACGTTAAACGATAAAGTTTTTTCACGTTAAAGCAATATCGTATAACGCAATGGTTAGGTATTTTTTCAATTTTTGCTGTTTGATTTCAGCGTTTAATTCGCCAAATTTAAAATAAGCATTCTTATAGTGGGATGCTGTCATGGTTCTCCCAGGAGTTGCTATTTTGACCTCCAATTATGAATACCCACATCCTTTTATTTTACGAGATACGACAATTTTTGTGGTTTTACAAAAAAATTTTAAAATCTTAATTTAAAAAGGGTGCTCTCAGGGATTCCGAATCATGTCTCCAAATATTTACAGCTCAAATCCTTGTTGTTTTCGAGATGTGACGTTTTTTGCGATTTTTTCATAAATTTACAGAAAAATTTAATTTAAAAACATTCAAACTTTGAAATTTCGAAGCCTTAAGTAGTGTGCTGCCAGGGTACTCTCAGGTTTTTCGGTTCTTGCCTCCAAATATGACAGCTCAAATCTTTGTTGTTTTTGAGATGCGACGTTTTCTGTGATTTTATCAAAAAGTTTTAGAAAACTTTAATCAAACAGTTTTCACAAAATTTGAAATTCTCAACCCTGCAGTAGGGTGCTGATAGGGTATTCTTAGGGATTTTGAATTTTGTCTCCAAATTTCTGTAGTTCTGTAATTTTCAAGTACTTTCAGGAGCTGCAAATCTTGCGTTCAAGTACGACTGTTCAAGTGCTTTTAGTTTCCGCGGTGTTAACTTTTTTCCTTTAATAACATTTTTCAAAGATTTAGATGTAAAAATAACTTCACAAGTTTTGAAGTTCCCATCTCTATAGTGAGGAGCTGTCAGGGTAGTCTCAGGGGTTGCAGATCTTGCATCCAAATTTCTCCGAAGTCCCTTCAATTTCCGAGATACGACGTTTCTATGATTTTTAAAAGTTTGAATTTAAAACAACTTAAATTAAAAAAATACTAAGTTTGAAATTACCAACCCTGTAATTGGGCGCTGTCAGAGTACACTCAGAGGTTGCAGATTTTGTTTCAATACATGTTGTTTTCTATGAATTGTCAAAAATTCGAACCACGGGAGGTGTCTAAAATTGAAGAAAAAATTCGGTGTCTGAGAAAATGGGGCCCGTGTTTGACAAATACTGTTACAAAAAATATTGAGTCCAGTGGTATTGTTTCGATATAGCAGGCTGATGATACAGGTTTGTAACTGCACAATATGGGAATCATATTGATGTTTCTTCGCGCTATTTTGTTTCTTTTGGCGGTTTGACTTTATTTTCTAAGTTTTTTTTCGAATTCATTTCTAAAAGGGAATGCCAAAACCCTCTTGAATAAGGAAAGTGGGGAAAAAAGGTTTTAACGATAAATTTAAATTCTGTAGAAATCCTAGTGGAACAGAAAATAATCACCTTGTGATCTGGCTTTGGTAAATTTATGTAGGTTTATGAGAAATGCTTATAGAAAAGATTTCCTATGTGTTTTCATTTCTCACTCAACTTCTCAGACTGATAGCTTCTTAGGAATTTGGTTGAACACGTACGAGCTTCATTTTATTTACCCCGTTAATACTTTAAGGGGAGCAGGGACCAGATAAACACGGACCTAGACATGGCTGAAAATACGCAAAATGGCCGAAATTCCCGTAGGGTTGAGAGCTCTTCTATTGCTGTTCCGACCACTGAAAGTGGCGAGGAATTTTCTATTCGGGCGTTATCGTTTTTTTTGTTTTTCACGCAAAATGAGGTACCACAAATGATAATCGGAATGGTTCGAGTGCCGAGGGAGGGGTCTACCCCCTCTCAATTCTGGTTGCCAAACTTTTCCAATGGGTTCCCCTTCGGTAAATTATTACTACATCCGTTTTTGGCTGACCAACCTCAAAAATTTCTAAAGGCGCCGCTGGCTCAAATATTACTATTTTTATTTTTTGGGGGGTGGGGATGGGTGGATTTACTGAAGAAACGCAATTTTTCGTAAAAATTTTCCAAAAAATGCCTAAAAACGTTTCTTTTGGGCCTGTTTTTTGAAAAATTTGCCTGCTGCGCAGAAAATGTTTAGCGCAAAATAGAAGAGCATTATAGTATTTTCGGATAGATCGGAAAATCAAATTGATCGACCTAAAAAAACAGTCCGCAAAATTTTCAAAACTTTTCGAAAAACCAACCTCCCCCTCTTCAGCTTTTGTGAGTTAGGTTTTTTATGCCTCTAAATTGGCGTATGTTTTTTATTCCGACGTCGGACGAAGCTCCGCTATGCTTCTGTATTAAGTTAGATTTCTATCCAGTTTGAGGAACGCGTTTAAATTACGTTGATACTATTTGAAGATCGCACGGTAATTAGGTTTGGTTTCCCTAATTTTTGAACTGATCAACTATCACTTCTGCTTGGCTGGCTTATAAATTTAAAAAAAGTGACGTGCTTTTAGATAGCATATAACCGGAAACTTTTTTTTTTGATGTACATTTTGGCTACCTTGTTTTCAAATTCAATAGCAGAAGTGCTTAATAGTTTTTTAATCGAAGTATCTTTTCTCGTTTTTGTTCTCAAAAACAATTTCACGTTTTTGAAATTTCAAAAACTTTACGACAATTTAATCTGTTCTTTAAAATTTGATTATCTATTCTATATTTAAATGCGGGCTTTCTTATCTCGCCATTTTTAAGCTTTTTGAACGTATTATCTTAGCACGTTAAACGATAAAGTTTTTTCACGTTAAAGCAATATCGTATAACGCAATGGTTAGGTATTTTTTCAATTTTTGCTGTTTGAATTCAGCGTTTAATTCGCCAAATTTAAAATAAGCATTCTTATAGTGGGATGCTGTCATGGTTCTCCCAGGAGTTGCTATTTTGACCTCCAATTATGAATACCCACATCCTTTTATTTTACGAGATACGACAATTTTTGTGGTTTTACAAAAAATTTTTAAAAACCTTAATTTAAAAAGGGTGCTCTCAGGGATTCCGAATCATGTCTCCAAATATTTACAGCTCAAATCCTTGTTGTTTTCGAGATGTGACGTTTTTTGCGATTTTTTCATAAATTTACAGAAAAATTTAATTTAAAAACATTCAAACTTTGAAATTTCGAAGCCTTAAGTAGTGTGCTGCCAGGGTACTCTCAGGTTTTTCGGTTCTTGCCTCCAAATATGACGGCTCAAATATTTGTTGTTTTCGAGATGCGACGTTTTCTGTGATTTTATCAAAAAGTTTTAGAAAACTTAAATCAAACAGTTTTCACAAAATTTGAAATTCTCAACCCTGCAGTAGGGTGCTGATAGGGTATTCTTAGGGTTTTTGAATTTTGTCTCCAAATTTCTGTAGTTCTGTAATTTTCAAGTACTTTCAGGAGCTGCAAATCTTGCGTTCAAGTACGACTGTTCAAGTGCTTTTAGTTTCCGCGGTGTTAACTTTTTTCCTTTAATAACATTTTTCAAAGATTTAGATGTAAAAAATAACTTCACAAGTTTTGAAGTTCCCATCTCTATAGTGAGGAGCTGACAGGGTAGTCTCAGGGGTTGCAGATCTTGCATCCAAATTTCTCCGAAGTCCCTTCAATTTCCGAGATACGACGTTTCTATGATTTTTAAAAGTTTGAATTTAAAACAACTTAAATTAAAAAAATACTAAGTTTGAAATTACCAACCCTGTAATTGGGCGCTGTCAGAGTACACTCAGAGGTTGCAGATTTTGTTTCAATACATGTTGTTTTCTATGAATTGTCAAAAATTCGAACCACGGGAGGTGTCTAAAATTGAAGAAAAATTCGGTGTCTGAGAAAATGGGGCCCGTGTTTGACAAATACTGTTACAAAAAATATTGAGTCCAGTGGTATTGTTTCGATATAGCAGGCTGATGATACAGGTTTGTAACTGCACAATATGGGAATCATATTGATGTTTCTTCGCGCTATTTTGTTTCTTTTGGCGGTTTGACTTTATTTTCTAAGTTTTTTTTCGAATTCATTTCTAAAAGGGAATGCCAAAACCCTCTTGAATAAGGAAAGTGGGGGAAAAAGGTTTTAACGATAAATTTAAATTCTGTAGAAATCCTAGTGGAACAGAAAATAATCACCTTGTGATCTGGCTTTGGTAAATTTATGTAGGTTTATGAGAAATGCTTATAGAAAAGATTTCCTATGTGTTTTCATTTCTCACTCAACTTCTCAGACTGATAGCTTCTTAGGAATTTGGTTGAACACGTACGAGCTTCATTTTATTTACCCCGTTAATACTTTAAGGGGAGCAGGGACCAGATAAACACGGACCTAGACATGGCTGAAAATACGCAAAATGGCCGAAATTCCCGTAGGGTTGAGAGCTCTTCTATTGCTGTTCCGACCACTGAAAGTGGCGAGGAATTTTCTATTCGGGCGTTATCGTTTTTTTTTTGTTTTTCGCGCAAAATGAGGTACCACAAATGATAATCGGAATGGTTCGAATGCCGAGGGAGGGGTCTACCCCTCTCAATTCTGGTTGCCAAACTTTTCCAATGGGTTCCCCTTCGGTAAATTATTACTACATCCGTTTTTGGCTGACCAACCTCAAAAATTTCTAAAGGCGCCGTTGGCTCAAATATTACTATTTTTATTTTTTGGTGGGTGGGGATGGGTGGATTTACTGAAGAAACGCAATTTTTCGTAAAAATTTTCCAAAAAATGCCTAAAAACGTTTCTTTTGGGCCTGTTTTTTGAAAAATTTGCCTGCTGCGCAGAAAATGTTTTGCGCAAAATAGAAGAGCATTATAGTATTTTCTTTTTTTCGGATAGATCGGAAAATCAAATTGATCGACCTAAAAAAACAGTCCGCAAAATTTTCAAAACTTTTCGAAAAACCAACCTCCCCCTCCCCAAAAAAAAATAAAAATAGTTATATTTGCTTGAGCCAAAGGCGCCTTTAGAAAATTTTGTTTCAATATATGTTGCAAAGGCGCAATATATGTTGTAAAGGAAATGTAAAGTGTTTTTTTTTGTTCAGATCTTTTTAAAAGCCCGCATCTTGAAGAGGGAGGGCGGTTTTTCGAAAAGTTTTGAAAATTTTGCGGATTTTTCTTAGGTCGGTCAATTTGATTTTCCGATCTATTCGAAAATACTATAATGCCCTTATATTTTGCGCTAAACATTTTCTGCGCTGCAGGCAAATTTTTCAAAAAACAGGCCCAAAAGAAACGTTTTTATGCACTTTTTAGAAAATTTTAACGAAAAATTGCGTTTCTTCGGTAAACCCACCCATCCCCTCCCCCCCAAAAAAAAATTCTGTGGACGCCACGGTCGAGTGATATATCAATATATCATATTAAGAAATTTCTGTCATTCTAGTGACACTAAAAATTTCACAATTTTTTTCCCAGTATCGAGAAAAATCGTTTTGGAAATTTTTGATTTTTCATCTAATCGCATCTAATCTTTTTTTCTCAGTTGAAGTTAGTTACCGAAAAATCTTGGGAATAAAATTTCAGAAAGAATTAAAAAAATGCTGCTAAAAAATTCAAATTTTTTTATTTAAAAATTTTTTTTGCTGTTTGAATTTTTTTAAGACGAATTCAAACTCATTCGCTAATTTACGCTCTTAAATTAAGAAAGTGGAAATGCCGCAAAAAAAAACGAATGACTTCCAGGAAAGTGAATTTTGAATTTTGATTTTAAGATTTCCCAGCTAAATAAGAAACTTATCCATTGATCCAGTTGTGTCTAATTGGGCTAATTTTGTCAGAGAAACTGTTGATCCTCTAATGTTCTAGAAGTATAAAGAATTTCAAAGTGATTTATTTTTTTCATCAAAATTTGAAAAATTCTAAAAAGTATCATTTTTCTCTTTTACCTGAAATCATTTACACTTTCCCACATTGAAAGTAACCGTTGAAAGTCTCTGCATTATCGTATAGCTTCTGGTAGTCTTAACAACATAACCTCAAAGTTCCGTGGCGATCTGTAATATGGTTCTTCTAAGCTAACAGTTCTAACTGAAGTTGATTTTTTACGGGCAAAAGTGCCAGTATGCGATTGCTGATTAATTTCTGGCGCCATGATGGTTTTCTTTACTAGATTTTATGCTGCAACCTTACATGGTGGCAAAAAAGCTATAAAGCCGTTATAGCGATTGGTTTCTTTCTCATACAATAGGGTACGACGAACAGTATCCATAAAACTTGATGTACTGAAATTTGATTGGAACTCCTTAACTCTTGGCATAGGTCGCGAGTCACTGTAATTTATGAGAATTTTTCTTTAGGCGAGAGCTTAGTTGGTTCAAAATAAAGTGAAATTCATCATCACATGCAAATGAATGCCGACCAGGAAAAAGCGTGTTTCTTTAGGTTGTAGATATCTTCAAATTGGTTCAAGAAAGTGTTTTTTTGTTCAATCTAATAGACTACCAACTAAAAGACTCCAACCATCTAATAGAGGTACCAACTAATAGACTCTAAGGGCGATAAGTGTATAACGATGTAAAGGCCCCTAGGATAGTTCGATAGCTTTTTGAATATCGAGTAAATCCGGTCAGCTTTTCTTACTACTCGAGGTCGTTTTTTTAGCTTAGAACTTCTCCACTTAGTACTTCTATTGAAGCCGAAATCAGACAACATGTGGTAGACTTGAAGCTAGAGGTCAAACCAGAGCTCGTCCTAGAACATTAGTAAGAATCGATGAACGTAGTTAAGTCTCTTCAATAGGTCGCGATGATTTTTTTTCAGGAAATGAAATCAAATTTGTTCAGGCTCAATTGTTTTTGCGGCTTGACTTTTGATTTCTTTTTAAGTTCAGCTCATTTCTTTTGTTAAATGAAGGCAAGTTCCACTATCGAACAGCGAAAGGGTAAGGGTCACGAAAAACGTGATCGACTCCTAGTTTCGAAAATGGAACCAAATTGAAAATGGAACCAAATTGATTTCCCAGCGAAAAAAAAATATTTACCATTGATCCAGTTTTCTCAATTTGGGCCCATTGGACGCGAGTCGCAATGTTCTGAATTATGTGCTAGCTGCACAGTAACCGGGTGCATTTGTTTGAACTTAGTTGCTGATTGTTTCAATCAGCCGTTTCAGGCGGAAAAATTGCTTCCATTTTCCACTTAAAGTTTAAAAATTTTTGTTAAGCACAGAAAAGACCTGATAAGCAATGTTTACGTGCCCTGATACGAATCGTAAGATTCGAAATTATGTATGATTTAGACTAGTCTCATTGAGTTTTCTTCTGGTTTTTTGTTGTTGTCTTTCGACAGCGGCAGCAAACACAGCACAGCAGAACCAGTGGACTGAGAGCCACGCTGGCTACAATTGACAAGAAAAGTGCCAGGTTTGTAACGCCAAGCCAGAAAGGCATGTAGTTGGATTCCTCCACGTCAAATTGAATGGTTTTTCCTTCAGCGACCATTGAATCGACAAATTTCTCCAACTTCTGAACCGCGTTGACACTCGATTCTTCATTTACCATTTTAACGTTTTTGAGGTACGTTGGCAAGTTCTGATAAATGTTTTCGACAGCAGTTAAGAGTTCGTCTTCAGAGGGGTTAGGGGATACGACTGTTCCGAAGTTGTACTTGGTGATCACTTTCGAGGTTAGTTCCTGGTCTCGCATTTGGGGACACCCAATGAAGGCTTTGAGGTTGGACACGCCCTCCATCATGGAGCTGGCACCGCAGTGAGAGAGGAATGCTTTCCTGTAAAGAAAATTAAACATCAATTTAAATTATTTGGATGCTATTAATAGTTTCATCATAGTCTATGCCCACCTCTTCCCTTGGACAGCGAAAAATATCGGTTTAGGGTGTTCTTATGAGTTCAAAATAAAATGAGTTAAAAATTAGTCATGCTTGACTCCATTGAGATATCCATATCAAAGTGAGTGAACATTTTTCCGGTGCTGCAAAGGTTAAACTGAAGTTAAAATTATAGACGATTGATCGGCGACAAACTGATATGAATTAATCAATATATTATCAATTCAACGGGTAAAGTTACATAAATGTATTTTTTAAAATTTATATTTATCTGTAATCATTTATTTTGTATTAGCTTAATTAAGAAAATCCCACCAAATTAAAAACCCTGAGCAAGAAATTGTTGAGTCGAAACACCTTCCTGCTCCGAAAAGGACTTACACTTTGGAATACGTGAATATCTCTTTTTGAGGTTGTTTCTGCCTGATGAACATTCGGCTTCTGTCATACTCCTCTTTCATTTCTTTCTCTTCACTCCAACCTGCATGGCTCCAGATTATATTAAATCTCCCCTGTTTCAAAAATGCCTTCTTCATTATTTCAAACTGTTCGTCGCTAAACACAGCGTAAGTTCCAAGTGCGACATATAGAATGTCTTTGTCGCTTTTTTCGATAAAAGCTCGTATTTCCGGACTCATTTCCTTAAGGTCAGCAATTTCCGTAGGTTGCATTCCGGTTATGTATAGTTTGCCAGGTACTTCTTTCAACGGGAAAATTGGAGGACCTACAAAAATATTAAAAATGTAAATAATAAAAAGTTTTTCTTAATTTAAGTGAAGCTTTGTAGAACTTATCCATCAAGCAAAAAATCAGTTGAGTTTTGCTTTTTTTGTAAGCAAGAAAATTGTTGATTGGTCATTTTTTTCGGCTGCTTACTAACCGACAAAATTACACTTATGAGCTGCAGTTCTTGCAATTTTGAGCTGTTACGCCATTTCAACAACGATGTTTGGCATTTGTTTTTTGCATACCTGCCAAGGCGAGTGATGGATAAGAATTCATAATGTGAAATGCATCTCTGAACTCCTTTTTGATCCCTTTTTCTCTGACCATCGAGTTGAACAGTTCATTGGCCTCCTGCTGAAAGTAGCCCCAAACAACCGAGGCCTGGGAAAAGAAAAGAGTCGTGAAGTAATCCAGAACCCATCTTGGTTTATCGCTGCTGGGTATGTACAGCCCTGCGAGACCGGCGTTAAGAAGATACCCCGCTTGGTACATGGAAGGGTGCGGGGTGGCACCTGCCCAAATGGTCGCATAAGGAATGTTGTTCAGCTCGGCAATGAGAGACACCCGACAATTGAATAGTTCGGCGAGAATCAAGTCGGGTTTGTCGTGCTTGACAAATGAGTCGACGGCAGGGTATCCATAAGTCAAGGGACCTGAAAATTGTTTTAATTTCAATTGAGTTCGATTTGATTAAGTCCCGACGTTCATCTCAATCAAGTTTACATTCAATTGTTAGTTACAAGTGGAAAAAGAAATTCCGGTTACCTGTAATTGGGCTGATACAAAGCGTTAAAGATAATAAATTCTTGTAATTGAAAGATTCGACGATTTTTCAGATTGCATAGACATAGTTTTCCTTTTCTTTTGATCATACAAAATTGCCAATTTTTCATGACTTTATGCATTTTTGCTGGGGTTTCGTGAACTTCTCTCACCAAGAATAACAATCTCGTGTTTTTAAACTCCTTTTCGGCTCTGTTTTCTACTCGTTTTACGCGAAGTAAAAACATTGCAAAACTATTGCATATTATTTACCGAAATTAGTTATAACCCTTGCGATAAACAAGGGTATTGCAATCGCGTACTAGATTTTTTCCGTAAATAACTTTAATCACAGAATTTTACAGTACGAAGCAAGCTGTAATTGATAAATTGTAAATGTTACTTGACCCCCCCCCCTTTGTACTATTTTAAGATATCCATTTTTGGCTAACAGACCTTAATTTTAAAGGCGCCTTTGGCGCCAATATTTGCTAATTTTGAGGAAGCGCGCGCCAAAAAAAACGCAATTTCTTGGTCAAAACTTTCCAAAAAGTGCACAAAACACCTTTTTTAGCCTGTTTTTTTTTTCCAAATTTCGCATGCGGCGCAAGGTAATGTTTTCCTGTCGTACTGCTCAGTGTGTTTCTTTTCTCATTTGCAATTCGAGTGTAAGCAGATTAGTGTTATTTAGATGTTTTGTTTTTAAACCTACAAAAACTTTCTGATAGCGAAAAAAAATTGAAATAGACGACAGTTCTTTCACCAGCGTTTTTCTTTTGGATTTTTTCTCTTAGTTTGTTTGGACTTAGTTCAGAGAAAATTTTCGCCTTGATTCCTCGTGATGTCTGAAAATTTTTGTTGCTAATCGATTCAAATCAATGGCACATTGATTTTTCGACAAAAAATTCAAACGTTTCTCTACATTTTCTGCTTTTAAAAAATCCCGTTTGGATTTTTTTATGACCATTTATCCTGGTTTTGTCTGCATATCAGTTAAACAAGGTCGCTGTTGTTCTCCACCAAGGTTTTCATCAAATTGAGTTTCATTTTAAGACAAATATATGAAAGTTTCGTGTGTTGTTTTTTGGCGTTTTTTTTCCATTTTCTTTTACGGCTCGATGGTTTTCTGTGTAGCAAGTGGTGCAAAGCTCAGCTTCGCATATGTGTTCATATTTCATTCATTTTACTTTGTTTGATATATACAGCTAGACTTAGTATTGAATTGTTACTAACCCATCGCTAGGTCATGGCTGAGTGCAGCGAATCCAGTTTCGTTTCCAGGGTAAAACCAGGGTCCTGAATCATAGAAATCCGCTTTTAGCTTCTCGGCAATGTCTCGACACTGAGAACCAATGACGAATGTCACGCGGTACTTGTCTTTAGCGGAAGAGTGATGCAGTAACGAGTATGCAATTGGAGTCATAGACGAAAGGTGTGAGTCACAACCCGAGACAAGAGCAACGTGAATAGGTTTAGATTTCGACTTCGATTTTGGCCCCGAGTCTTTCTCGGATTTCGTCTTCTGCTCTGAATGCTTCTCGGCTTCCGGTTTTCCACCAGAATCGCTCTTCAAATTTACTTTTTGATTCGTAGTTTTTGTTTTGTGATCCAAAGTATTCTCTGAACTTGGCATCCGAGGGGAACTGTCAACAACCAATTCTTCTCTTTGATCGTCTGGCAGGTTTGACTCTGTCGGAGCATTATTTTCCGATTTAAGAGGCTTCGGTTGTTTCGCTGCAAGCGAATTTGTTGCCAAAGCGGTTAATATAACTAGAAAAATTTTAACCTTTTGGAGATCCATAACCGAAGAAGTGTATGTCTTAGCTTATCATAAATTCAAACCAGAGTTTAGCCGAGGTTAACTATTTGCTTACAACAGGATTGAAGCTTCTCATTTTGTACATTTGATAGACCAAAAATGTGACAGTTGGCTCAAGCTAATTATATCAAGCTGGTTTGGACGTATGTACTTAAGAATCAGAATGATGAATGTCTCATTCTTCTCTCTATTTGCAAACCGTGAGCCTCGGAATCTTCATGTACAGGAACATTTGCATTCTCAATAAAATGCTACTAGATTTGCAATAACAGTATCGACATCCTAATATTTCTGTACCTCCCATCAGTTCTGCCTGCCAAGTTTTTCCAAGGATTAGATTTCGTACTGATGCTATCTTACGAGATATCTATTTTGGAACCCATATAGTCCAATTTTGAAAAAAGATTTAAAGAATTTTTTCAAATGAATCACCTCGACAAATTGAAATAGCTGTCCTAAAAAGTAGACCAAGTTGTTTTTCAAAAAAGGCAAGGCCTCCTCTGCCGTCTAAAGCTTGTGCGCAAATCATTTTTGTTCCGATCATTTAACTAACATCATTTATCCACGAGGGATAGGACCAACATAATGTTGCCTCACCCTCAAGCAACGAGCACGGATCATGGTGGGCCTCGAACATCCGACCTTTCGATTGAAAGGCGGAGACGTAACCACTTCACCACTGCTCCCCTTCATTTCACGAAGGAACTACCCCGGGTTGATCAAAATTCTAATGATACAACTTTCATATATCGAAAATTCCTGAGTAAAAAAAGTTTACGCAATTTAATAAGTGCACAGAAATTTGCATGAAAGTTTTATGATTAGTATTTCAGAAATGGTATGACTAGCATTTTTCCATAAACTAAATTAACTTTCTTTTGCTTTGAAAGTCACCAAAAGTTTACCAGTTTTGTATGTACAATACATTGGAAATGACATGGTCTTACATGTACAATGCATTGGAAACGACCTGATTTGAGATGTAGTACACAAACGATAGTATGAAATTATCAAACTTCTAAATTTTGGCTGAAATTCTCGAAGTTGCTAAATTTTCAAAATCATTATTTTGAATCAATCATTCATTTCCCAGGGGGTACAAAAAGATGCATTACAAAAAAAAATAGGTTTTTTGAACGTTTTCACAAAAATTTTTCTAGAGAAACGGGAAAGTTTTTCAACGATGTGTATTGCAAGACTAAGTTAGACACACAAAACATAAATTTCGCGTGCATTTTTTAATTGGTGCTTTCAGTGTTTGATTTACTTACCATGACTTCGTGTTTCCTTTATTTTCATTTGGCTTAAAAACTTCATTCGGGCCAAGCTACTTTGGCTTAAGTTTCATCGGCTTAGTGACCTAATCTTGGGTCATTTCAAGGGAAGCACAATTTTTTATGTTCCCTCTGCAATTTTTAATTTGATTGGATTTTTACCATTCGGTTTGTTGAAATTTAATTTTTCATTAGTTTTGGCCTGATTTCAAAATGTTTTGTGTAGCCTTTTTATGTGTCGTTTGAGGCGTCAAAAATGATTTTGCATGCCTGTGAGTTATGAGGCGAAGTTAGACGAAAATTTTTTTAGTTGGTTTTAAATTTAAAAATATTTTGGCTGGAAGAGTGTCTGCTGAGATATTTTCGGCTCTGTTACTGCTTGGTTGTTTTTGTTCTGATGCTGATTTTGCATTCTTTTGTTTGGGCGTGTTTTTTTGACAATTATCGTAATCATTTTGAAAGATCTTGTTGTATTGCTCAGCTTGACCTCTGTTAGCGTGTTTTATGTCAAGAATTTTTTCTACGAGTTTACACCAAATTCTATGTCCAAATATCAAAAAAATTTATATTAATTTGTATTAGTTGTGTTTTGTCATAGACTTAATTAATGTATGGAAAGTATGATTATCAGTTTTGGTCTATGGGGGTCAACCCTATGGTGTTTTCCCGGTTTTCACTACCTCAAGAAACAAGGAAAGCTTGAAGAAATTCAGGTGTGATATCATATTAAGTCTTTTTAGGCGTAATTCGAATTCCAACAGTTTTTTTCAAAAGTGTATCATAGTCGAGAAAAATATTTTGACTTTTTTCGACTTTCATACTGAATTTCTCAGAAGTTTGTGACCCTCATTTTAATTCTTTTGCTTTTTTAACGTTATTTGAGCTGTAATTATCTCTCATTTTTGTGTGTACCTAATTTACTTGTCATTCGCCAAAGAAAAGGAAAAAATTTTTGGACTACTTTTGTCGGTTTTTCGCTTATTCATTCGCTTATATCTATTTTAGTTTAAATTAATAATTATGGGGAAGCCAGGAAATGCCCTTTACGTACGTCGAATATATGGATTTGAGATTTAGTTTCAGTATCTGTGTGCTGCTCTAATTCTTTTGATTAAAAAAAAAACAATTTAATGTTAAAGAACAAATATATCGTTAAAGAACAAAATTGTTATACAACAGCGCTGCGCTGCCTCCATGAGGTTTTTGATAATTTTCACAATGATGTGCTCCGTTCACCAAAAATGCTTATCATACAATTTCCTACATCAAAAAGCTTCTCATGCATTTTCATACTTCGCTTGTAAGAACAAAACGCTGAGTAAACCATTTTCTTCCAAAATGAAAAATTTACTAAAAAAAGAACAAAACGTTCATCAAACCATTTTCTTTCAATTTCAAAAACTGACCGAAAAAAGATAATTTTTTTTTTGAAAAAATTATTTTTCATATTTTCCATGCAAGAAATTTTTATATTAAACATTTTTTTCACAAAAATGAATTCTGCAAAAGCTCTTTAAAAAGGGTTTTCAGATAAAGAAGCTTTTCGCATATGAAAATTCTATTATACGAATTTTTCGGTCGACCCGGGAACTGAGAATGATTGAATCGCAGTGCAAACTTCAGTCTTGTGCTCCCCTTTATACTTGGATAATTTAATTAAAGAGGGTGTAAATATTGAATGTCTCATTTTAACTCAAAATTGAAATTAACGGAAAACAATTTTCGCAGCAATATGATGTTACTCCCTAATTTGTTTTTCGTTTAATTTAACTTTAATTGTCTGCTTGAAACTTTGAGAAAATTTCTATTTGCCCCTTTGAAGATTTATCTAGTTGATTAATTGAAATGAGTTGAAGTGAGACATTTGATTTTTGCACCCCCTTTAAATCTACACTTGCGAAAGCAATATTCTTAATTGAGAACTAGAGTTTCTTACAGTGAACAACTTCTTGCAAACTTTCGTCCTGCTTTATTGCGGAATCTTAACAATTTACAGATTCCATCGCACTTGCCTTTGAGGAAATATTGTATCTTGTGCACTCTAAGGTTCGTGGTTCGAATACCGGTCGGACCTCGCTTTTTCAGTAAGTATGCAATTGCAATTTTTTTTGGGAAAACTTGATTCGTCTGACTCTCGGTTTTCTGCTCAAGTTTTGTCGGCTTAGTTGCCACATCACGGATTCTCTTGTGTAGAGAAACCATTTTCTTTCAATTTCAAAAATTGACCGAAAAAAGATAATTTTTTTTGAAAAAATTGTTTTTCATATTTTCCATGCAAGAAATTTTTATATTAAACCTTTTTTTCACAAAAATGAATTCTGCAAAAGCTCTTTAAAAAGGGTTTTCAGATAAAGAAGCTTTTCGCATATGAAAATTCTATTTTACGAATTTTTCGGTCGACCCGGGAACTGAGAATGATTGAATCGCAGTGTAAACTTCAGTCTTGTGCTCCCCTTTATACTTGGATAATGTAATTAAAGAGGGTGTAAATATTGAATGTCTCATTTTAACTCAAAATTGAAATTAACGGAAAACAATTTTCGCAGCAATATGATGTTACTCCCTAATTTGTTTTTCGTTTAATTTAACTTTAATTGTCTGCTTGAAACTTTGAGAAAATTTCTATTTGCCCCTTTGGAGATTTATCTAGTTGATTAATTGAAATGAGTTGAAGTGAGACATTTGATTTTTGCACCCCCTTTAAAGTTACACTTGCAAAAGCAATATTCTTAATTGAGAACTAGAGTTTTTACAGTGAACAACTTCTTGCAAACTTTCGTCCTGCTTTATTGCGGAATCTTAACAACTTACAGATTCCATCGCACTTGCCTTTGAGGAAATATTGTATCTTGTGCACTCTAAGGTTCGTGGTTCGAATACCGGTCGGACCTCGCTTTTTCAGTAAGTATGCAATTGAAATTTTTTTCGGTAAAACTTGATTCGTCTGACTCTCGGTTTTCTGCTCAAGTTTTGTCGGCTTAGTTGCCACATCACGGATTCTCTTGTGTTGCAAGAAAAAATCTTGAGAATCGCAAAAGATATCATTGTAGTTTTATGGACATGGAACTTAGAGTTTTTTGTAAAATCTATTTTTTTGGTCAACTGTTGTCTGCTCTAAGATTGTGGGCTTTGTTTCCGCTTCGTAAGTTTTGTTCGGTTGCTGATTTAAAGCGCAAATTATATGATCGTCTTGTTTGTCTAGATTTCTTGTTTGATAAAAATAGGTGTTATGAAAATGTATGGGACAGAGTTTTTGTTTTATTGAGATTTTTTGAGATGCTTTTGAATTTTTTTTCTCATTTTTCAAAAAATTAAGTTTTTCTCAGAAACTTCTAATGGTTTTCTAAAATGGGTAACAAATTAAAGAACATCGAATTCACTGTGTACCCGCATACTCCACTAGTATTTTTAATTTGCCCCTCTGTTTTAGTCTTCGAAAAAAATTTGTGGGGTGATATTGACCCATATTTTTGATTTCTTTGTTCGATTTTCCAAAAACTACCCTCTTAATCTGAGTTCTCGGTTTAATTGAACAAAATTGATTTTAAAAATTCACTGCCCCAGCGGATAAGCACAAAATTTTTAGAAATAAAGTTATGGCTCTCAGAATAATTACTTTTTTTTTTTTAAATGTTTACCGAAAAATTAACTGCTCAAACCTGAGATTTTGGGTTCAATGGAGATAGCAGGTAGTGAAAAGCTCCCCTGCTTTAGCGGTCATCATAAATTTTCTGACAAAAGGTTATTGCACAGGGAAATGTTTTGACCGTTAATTAAAACTTTTTGAATTTTCTCGAAAAGAGCTGTGCTATATCTGAGACTTTGTGTTCAACTCAAAAAAAAGTTTCGAAAAACTTCTTTGAATATTGGACTACGTCCAAGTGTTTTTCGACATCAAAAATTAAGGCCTTCGGAGAAGTCAAAGATAGTTTTCGACCGTTTATGGAACATTGGTGCACAAGATCTACTCTCTCAAATCTGAGCTTTTGGGATCAACTGGAATTACAGGTTGAGTGAATCTCTTCTGCACAAACGACTACACAAAAGCGATGATTCTCGGAATTATCAAAAGTTTTATCGAATGAGTAGGTTTTTGGAAATCTAACTTTTTTTATTGGCGGGCCGAACTTTTAAAAAAACATGTTATGGCCATCAAACATGTCAAACTTTTGAAGCTTTGACCGATTATTGGAAACTTTTCGACTATTGCGCCAATTTTCAACCCAGAAAACCGCTTTTGGGATTTTTCTCTACGTAAGCGGCTACGACCGGCGTTTTTCAGAAAAAAAATTATAGATTTTGGAAAATTTTTGACCGTTTGTTAGAATGTTTGACCGTTATTTGCAACATTTTTAATTTTCTTACAAATTACCCTGTGAAATCTGAAATACAAATTTCAGTTGAAAGAACCGGTTGCGAGAACCGTACCTTCAGAAGCGGCGACTCTTTAGTTTTTTGTAAGAGAAGTGATATTTCCCGTAGAAATTTCCCCTATCTCAAAAAGTTTTACTCTCACTTGTTTTAGTAGAGAAACAACTAAAGTTTTGGGCAAAATACTTTTTTTTTGAAATCCAACTTTTCGTTCCGCATGATTGTAACAAAGTCATACAATATCAAACACGTATCTCCAGCTTTAGCTGGGTATTTAGTTGTTTTTATCGAGACATACGAAAATTTTGGTTCACCTAGTTTTTTATAGCTTTTTCTTTTTTTTTCGACGCGTGTTTGTGCTGTACCGCAAGTGGTGCGAAGCTCGGCTTCGCCTGTGTTAGAACATGTTGGTATAGTGGGGTGCACAATATTGAATTTTGAACTTCGATTCATTCGTACTCAGTTAAGTGGATGCTTTCTCAACGCTACGTATCATACTTGTGCCCAGGGGCAGATCTAGGGTTTTCTCGAGGGGGGAGGGAAATTTTCAAAAAAAGTCAAAAATTTTGTCGATCTTTTTTAGGTCGAGTAAATTGATTTTCTGAGCTCTCACAAATCATTAAAGACCCTATTTTGACAAAAATTTTTGTGCCGCAGAAAGGCATTTTTCGTTTTAGGCCTTTTTCGGAAAATTTGACCAAAAAATTGCGTTGTTTCGGCGCGTGCAAATTTGAGGACTATTTTTTTTCAGTTTCTATTCTTTTTTCCAATATTGAACTCATACATATAATCACCAACGGAATTAGGGAGGGGGCGAGGGTTTGTATTATTTTTGAAGTTGAGCCTGCGGGGCAGAAAATATGGTCAAAAGAGGGTCTTCATATTGATTTGTCATAGCTCGGAAAATCAGTTTAGTTGGCCTAAAAAAAAGAAGATCGATAAAGTTTCAAAAATGTTTTGAAAATACGCCCCCCCCCCCTGCCCCCTCGAGAAAACCCTACATCCGCCACTGCTTATAATTATTCAATATTTAAGAAATCAATGTTTTATCTCATCATATCATCTCTTCATCATAGCTGAGCATCTCGAGTGACTGTTTTGTTTTGCTTGAATCTCCTTTGAAAATGTCACAAAGCAATTCTTCAAACTCTCGGTCTCGTCCTGTAAATAAAGGAAAGAAAAGAAAAGCTGCTTTTTCCGCTTTCTTTGTTAAAAGAAAGTATATCCCAAATTTCACCTGTTGTAATTTAATAAATTCCCCAAAATCATAAAAAGTTTAGCTCTTTTCCAGGACAACTGTTTTCCAGAGTATTTATTGCTTTAGTTGCTTTTGTAAATCCTTCTCTCTTTCAATAGCTTTGGATGAAAATGGCTCTGCAAAATCAGTCTCAGTAAACTCCAGATGCAAAAATTTTTAAGTGGATTTTTGTGGAATTATGGCAGATACGTTCTATCCAGGAAGTCAGATATAGTTTTTCAGATCAGTTGCTTGCTATATTTCTCTTGACTAGCCAATCGTAATGGATTTAAGATACAATAAACATCGTCTGGCCTTTTTAGACCACTATTATTACTTTATTTTTCCTCCTTCAATTAGATCAATAGCGTTCGTCTATTTCCTATGTTTCCTTATTTTTAGTTTTTCCCTTTATTAAAACCGTTTTATTTTATTTAATTGATATTTGTTTGCCGTGTTTTTGCATTTATTGTATACTTTTTCGGCAATTTATTGATTTATTATCACTGGCTGAAACTTATGATATTTTTATAAAGTCTTATCTATATCGAACTAACCATTCAAATGGCCAATTTAAAATCCTCTCCTTTTCCACCCAAAATGTCATTCAAACGTGAGATGAAATCTTTTCTCGAAAGTCAGCAAAAACATCAGGAAAATTCTGCCATGTTTTCGTCATCTAGTGCAATTTCATCAGAAAACTCAGTTTCATTATCTCCTTTTTTACCGAATTTAAAAGTGTCTCAATCTTTCGATTCTTCTGGTAGCAACTATAACACAAATGTTTCTTCTTTAGCTTTATCCAGTGCAAGTTCACGTGCTTTTTCTCTCTCACCGAGTCGGATTTCTCCCGAAACGGTTTTAACGGTTTCTGAAAGTTTTGCCGGTTTTTCGGGGGAGTCCCAAATCAAAAATCGCCAGGCCATAACAACTGAATCACCAGATTCAGGAGTTGATAGCAGTTCAGTCGTGGACAATGATGACCATGATTTGGACCATGGCCGAGAAATTGACCACGAAGTTAAATCTAGCGAGGAAATTGATATTCACACTCTTTCTCGTGACAGCAATGAAGTTTTGGGTTCATCGGTTGAAGCTACAAAACTGTCCAAATACTTCGGCTCTCAGATGGATCCGGAGGCTCACAGAGATTCTTCGATGCTGAGTTTGAAAAGAAAACTGGACGAATGTGAATCTCAGTCCCAGTTTTCGGCTCAGGAATCTTTTGAACTTCGGCGGCGAAGTTTGGACCCCAGTTGGTATATACGATCTCGCAAAGGATCCGCTGCACTGTCAACATGTAGTAACGGAACAAATGAAGGTGAAAACTTTCCCAATAATAAAGACCCCGAGCTGGATTCGAACTCTGGCCCTGAGGATGGGAACGAAGGTGAACAGAGTGACTTCGACATGGGAATGGATTGTGCTTCGCTGGAAATTATCGAAGATGATGAAAGCATTGCTGGTACACACACGACTGAGAAGGGTCAGTACATTTTCATATTGCGTACCCTGCAGTTGTTCAATTTTCTGGCAAAATCAGTCCTAACGACTTTTTTGTTTCCCCTTTCACCAAAACTTCTATATTAAAAACTCATTATGTTACTCAAGTCCGATTTATATATGAATAGATATGTCGGCTCTTTTTCCTTTTCCCCCCACCTCACTCAAACACAATTTTTTTGGTCTAACGAGTGGTTTTACAAGGTTAATTATGAAGACCAAAAATGTTTGTCAAGGCCTGATTAGTCTGTATGTCATTTTTCATGACAATCGGACAAAATGAACAGGAACTTCAAAAATAAAAAATTGCAGGTGGGGGGGGGGGGGGGGAAGGAAAAAGAGCCGATATGTCTGTAACCTGTTTAGCTAACCGTTAAAAAATTATCAGATAATTTCTTTCGTGGTGTTTCTTTCTCCTAGGCTCTTTTTCCGGTACTACTATGATAGAGTGGTCCCACGAAAAAACAACTATGATAGACGGGTCCCGCATGCATTTCACATGTTCTAATTTTGACAACTAATTGGTGCATAAGTTATTCATTTCAAAAGCCAGAAACTAATATATTGTGTATATCAAGAAATATGCTCGCTTCAACTTATTTTACGGTTTAACATCCATAATTGGTTTAACTTTTTTTGTCATCAAAAGTCAATTTTGTCATTTTTTTAAAAAAAGTTTCTAACTTAAAATGGCGAGGGATGTTTTTACTAACTAAGTACCAAAACATGAAATTTGTATGAAAATATTTTGCGACATATTTCGGAATGGCGAAAACATAATTGTTAAACGATTTGAGAGCTCAAGGTGTCTTATTCTCAAGTGACCTGGTTATTTTCAAGGGACCTTTCTATCATAGTAGTACCCTTTTTCCTTCCCCCCACCCTTTTCTTTCATGATTAAAGTTACTGTTCACATAGACCGATTGTCATGAAAATTGACATGCATACTTATAAGGCCATGACAAACATATTTGGTCTCCATAATCAATCTTGTAAAACCACACCACTCATTACACCATAAAATTGATGCTCGTGTGAGGTGGGGGGGAGGAAAAAGAGCCCAGAATTCCCTAGAGAAAAAGGAATATGTTTTGATGAGTATTTTATTGAGCAGCATTCATGTATTTTATTGAGCAGCATTCATGTAAATGCAAAGCTGCGTTAAATCTTGTTAGTAAATGAGTGAACGATAGTTGCGTGAACCTTTTAGTACATTTTGGTCCTGTAATATGACCTTTCGAGCCCTGCTAGCTCAGTCGGTAGAGCGTTGGACTTTTAATCCAACGGTCAAGGGTTCGAGTCCCTTGTGGGGCGTAGTTTTTTAATTTACAATCAGATTGAATATTCAATCTCTACAAACATTCGTTTATGTTTGCGTTTGATTATGATACAATCAATGATTTTGTAATTACAATCAATGCGTTTGTAATTACAATCAATGATTTACTTGAACAAAGAGCCGTATGATAGGTAGGTCCCTAAAATTTAGAAGGGTCCCTGCAGGAATTTTGTGCTTAAAATGTTCAGAAACAGGTACTATGAAAATGATAGTGGTCCCTTGAAAATAACCAGGTCCCTTGAGAATAAGACACCTAGAGCTCTCAAATCGTTTAATAATTATGATTACGCCTTTCAGAAAGATGTAGCAGTATATTTTCAAACAAATTTCATGTTTTGTTACCTCTTAAAACCTCCCCGTCACCATTTTAAGGTTGAAAAAAAAAAAAAAAACCGCCAGTAGTGGGTTTTGATGACAAATAAGTCAACCCAATTATATGGTTGTTAAACCGTAAAATAAAGTAAAGCGAGCAAATTTCAATATGTAAACAATAGTGTGATTGCAATTTGTTGGCTCGTGTTTTTGAAATTTTCTCGCGGGAAGGGGGAGGGGGGTGGTTTTTTGAGTGGGGGGGGGGGGGACTTTTAAGCAGATCCGGCGTTTTAGGCACTTTTTGCGAAATTTTAAACCAAAAAATTGCGTTTTTCGTCACGCGCTCCCCCATCAAAGTTAGTATAAATGTCGCCAAAGGCGCCTTTAGAAAATTCTGAGGGTCAGTCAGCCAAAAACGGATATCTCAAAAAAGTACAAAGGGGTGAACCTTTAGGTCGGCAGGGGGACGAATCCCTATATCCGCTTGTGCTTGTACCGAACAATTTTGAAGGGTTAGTTTCTTGGGGCCCCTCTGTCACATTGGTACACCTTTCCTGCTCTCTCATTAACAAAAAATGCCTCTTTTCCACTTACCCCTCTTCCCATCTCGAATTTTCTTTTTATTGTTGTTTTACATATAATTATGGCTAAACGCGTGATTAAGATGGGTCGTGAAAGTTTTTTTAGCCTTAAAATATTCGTTAACATGATTCGCAGTTGTTTGCTTATTTGCCATGGTTACTTTCTTTCTAGGGACAAATTTGTAGCGTGAACAAATTTGAAAACATTTTTCAACGCCTAAAATGCCTGTAAAATGTTAAATTAATATTTATTCCACATTAATGGAAGAGCCTTTTTTCTCAAAAATTCCCTGTTACAAGGATTTTTATAGCAAAATATCATCTCTCTTTGGTTTCAGATCTCGAAAATTCGAAATGGCTGGCCGATTTAAAGGTTGAAAAGACAACATTAAAAAAAGGGTTGTTCTCTGCTGTAAATATAAAATGCGCGCACCACTGATCATAATTTGCACCAAACGAAAGCGGAGGCACGGGAGAAAAACATATCGTTATGCAAGGTGTCTCAAGCCGTAAATGTTGTGTTGCATTTCAGGTTCTGGAATACCCAACAAACGTTCAAGTGCCTCAGATACTCCTAGTGACAAAGAATACGACGAAGACTCTGACATTGACGAACACGTGAACACAGTTCGACAACATAGCCTGGACGTCACCGAAAACCCGAAACAACACCGAGAAGAATCCGAAACGAAGCGAGGCGATGCGAATGGTTCGAATTTTCTGTCGAAACTTCCCATTCCGATCAAGTGCGAAGAATGTGGCCACACGTTTCATTCGAACGCTTCCTTTGCGATTCACCAGCGAAAACACACTGGCGAACGACCGTTCGTTTGCGACGAATGTGGTCTCGGCTTCACACAGAAAGGAAACTTGTCCCGACACAAGCAGACACATTTAGACAGCAAGCCTTTCAAATGCGATCAGTGCAGTTACGCGACTAAACGCAAGGATGCTTTGCTGACTCATAAATCGACACATTTCCTGAACAAACGATACAAGTGCACTTATTGTAGTCAGGTAAAAAAAACTTTCTTTTTTTTGGACCAAGTTAACATCGTCCTCCCCAAATCCGTTTAGGGGGGAGGATGTTAACTTGGTTCTGAGTTTGAATTCTGAGTTCGAAAGGATTGTTACTTGATCCCTTTTTTTAACATACGCTAGTGGTTTACAAGTTGATTTAACCGAATGGAGCTTTTCGTACTTGATAAATCTTGACTGCAAAACGCAAATTTTTCAAATTTAATCAAATTAATTGCAGACATTTTTTAAATGGAACTGCCTCTTTTTCTATCAATTTAATGATTTGACAGCCGCTGCTGCGAAGAGTTTATTGTTGGTATTAGATCGCCTCTGATGTTGACACACATCTTTTTATTGCTGTCACGTTGCGAAGATTTGAGAAAAAGGCTTTTTTTTTCAATTTTCTCATGAACCGCCAAAAAATAATGATTTACAAGTAATTAATGCCATCTTGAATTTGAACACTTGTGGCTCAATCCATTGTTTGTATTTTTTCACACAGATGCGGATCAGTAGGAAATCAAGCTAACTGATTTAATTGTTTTCTAATTCTCTTTGGAAATTATCCAATACTAGAAGAGGAAACAAAAACAAAACAAACGCTTGAGAAACAGTTGTTGGTTTTCTCGCTTTTAATGTCGATCGTTGGCATCGCTTATTCTTATCAATTATCAGCTAGGACAATAAAGATGTTCAATTTCAAAGACATACTAGGAAAGAGGAGTTTGTTTAGACTTCCTCGTGACTCTGAGTTTTCTCCCGTAATTTGGACAATCACTTAGATAACATGAACATATGACACTTGAAAAGATCCAAGAAATCCTTTGTTCTGGTATTGGAAATATTGGAAGTATGAACTGAATTGTGCATTTGTCGTATACAACGGGTGCAATAATCGGGACCTTAGTCGTAAGATAGCTACTTTCGTATCAAGTAACATATTTGAGAAAAAATGGTTGATGAACCAGAACCTTGCACAACTGGATTTATTAATTTTTTTTCTCAGTTAAACAAACTGTTTTGCTTCATATGCTTTAAAATTGTAAAATTTTAAAGATTTTCAGATCAGAGATTACGAAATTTCCAGTAATTTGCGTCATGATGTGCATGTCAAATATATTTATTCCACGTTGAAGGCTTGGCAAACATTTGACGCCGATCGCAACCATTTGGCGATTGTGCATATTCATATGTTGAAAAACTTTCAACAAGGCAGCTAATCCTCGTTAGCAGCAACTCTAAATTATGAATTCACTGGATAATGATATTTTGTATTTTTTAGGCATATAAGCAACGTCAATCCCTTCGGGATCATCTGCGAGCATGTCATCGGATCCCGAGCGAAGAGCTGCGCGATATCTTGTCCGATAGTGTCGCTCAAGTTCAGCTTCGCTCTCTCGGCTCATCACCCTCCCCTTCGACCCCTTCTCCACGCCCGCCACAATCAGGGGGACTTCTTTACCCTCCTCGAGGACCGAGTCAAATGGGGTTTGTGGGTCCACAGAAAGATCTGGGGGTCCCAATGAGCACTGATTCCGCTCCGGGAAACTACGGTTTGGCGGGACTCGGAGGTGCAGTCGTGGGAAGAGCGGAACTGGAGGAGCGGCTGAGGATACGTCATCAGCAGATCATCGATATCAAGCAGAAATATGCGACCTTGCCTCCAATTGATGGTAAAATTTTAATTTCAGTGTTTTAAAGCATTTTCTACAATTTTTACAATTTTGATAATTTTTTTCTAGTCCTTCGTAATTTTTATCTCACATTCCTTTTGAATTTTAAAAAAATCTCTGACCTCCGTAATTCTTTTTTGTTGACGTTCTATTCGCTGTTTTATGTGAGTAGATTGTGACCACCAACATTGAGGTTAGTATTAATAGTTGTGCTCGTTTTGGAGTTTCATTACAAACTGAAGTTTGGTCAACAAAATTTAATTGATTTTTCTTGAAAAATGTCAGCTCTGCTGCAAACAATAGCTCGATAGAGGAGTCATTAATATTTGACAGACCAGCTGCAATTCAGCCGATCGTTCGATTAGTCATTCTCTGGAAAAACAAACAGGTTCCAGCTGATTTTTTACTCTGATTCAGACACGCAGACGTTTTCAAATATTATAATGTATACAATATTTCCTTTATTGCTGGATAAATAAAAGGATTTATTAAGATCTGGAAGCATTTTAATAAATAATAGATTCGCACCGGTGAATGAAACGCATTTTCTTTGTGCTCGCAATCCTTCTTTTTTCCCCTTTTTTAGACAAAAACCGAATACGGAAAAATATTTTTTTTTGCGCCAGGTTTTTCTGTATGAGTCTTTGTGTACATGTACGCTAAAATAAATGATGTGGAACATGAAGTTCAATCAGACATGACTAATACTAATGGGAAGGATTTCTAGCATCATGGCCGTTGTACAAAATAAAAAAATGGGAGTATTAAAGCTAATTTTATAACGGATACCAGATGTATAACACTGATTCCATATGTAACTCAAGTATGGACATAACTGAAACGAAAGGAGTTTATCCAGGCGCCGGATGTTAGATGTTGGACGCACTACTTTTTTCTTTTTTGGAATATATCAGATACGTATATGATTAATCTTAGGTGAAAACGAACTTTAGAGAATCTTTTGCTTTTTTCTTTATTTGTTCAATTTGTGTGTTGAAAAATAGTTTTAAAAATAGCGTCAACACCAGTTGTCGAATAAAAAGTGAAGTTTTTCACGGCAAAAAAATGTACTTGGAGAGTTCTTGACGCATCGACATGTTGGAATAGGTACTTTTTTCCGACAAAGAGTCTCCCATTTTCTCGCGATTGATGTCGCAAAACCGTGTTTAGCTATCCCCTAACGTGACAAGAACACATGTCGCCTGGCATAAATGGCCTGCAGTTACATTTGCGCTCGAGACCATCTTTGATGTGCGCTCTTTGTAACAAGTGTCAATTCTGAACAACGCCGCAAATCCTAGGATAGAATCAGCTTTGAAAAATCGAACGAAAATGATGTTGACTTAGAAATTAGAAAAGATGAAACTGTGTCGGACAACGGAAAAGTAGCAGTCGCATACTGTGCAACTACAGCAGAATGCTCCGAACTTCTTTGTTCACTTATCATATCATTTAAAACTAATGTTTTCGCTCTCATCGCAACGGTAAAACGAAAAAAACTTAAGTTGTTTTTGCTGGAAGAATTTCGACAATGATTCAAAAAATGATAACTTCCTATTTATCATTTTCATAAGTTTTAGTTCAGCGCCAATTTTATTGATAGCTTCTTGAAATATGGAATCATACCAATTAAACCAAAAAGGGTTATTTTTGACCTATTTTTTCAGGCTTCGAAGTTAAAGTTAGTGTTTTTGAAGATTTAAAAATTTTGATTTAAGATCAGGAAGAATGTTTTTCAATTTTTTTTTGAAAAATCTACCAGGTCAAAAACCAGTTGTATTGTGGTTAAAGCACACTTTTGAAAGATTGAGCTGTCTTTATAAAGTTACCTGATTTTTAAACTAGCATTTTCAGTTAATCATATTTTTCCAGGAGCTCTGAGTCGCCGTGTGTCATCTTATCAACCAGTATCACCACCAGCTTCCTCCGTAAACGATCATCGACAACATCACTTGCCACGACAACATCACTTGCTACCCGGAAACCTTTGCGACCTCACATTAGGAATGGACAGAAATTTACAAAGATCTGTGAGAGATCGTTCTTTGCCACCTGTGGGGTTCTTGCGACAAAACCAGGGACTCATTCACACAACTGACACTCGTGTTTTGTCATCTCAAAGCTACTTGGGGCCTCACAGCTTACTCCCCGGAGGCTCTGGAGGTAATTTAGCATCTGTTTTGGCGAGAAACCTTCCACATCGGGAGGAGCGCCAGCTCCCTTTGGGACACCCTGGGAATCTTTACTCACAGTCGAGACATCCTGTTTCCGTTGATGCCACTGGGTTGCACGCCAGTGTCGCTGTGACAACCGCGCAACATATAAATGCTTTAGCTGCCGCCTATAACTTACCGGGATACCCATCAATGGCAAAACCTCCGGCCGGATTGCACGCAAATCACTCAAATAGCGCAGTCGCTATTGCGTATGCGCATCATCAACAGTTGGAGGCCGCGAGGCGCATCAATCAAAGATTTCAACATCAGTTGCCACCCCTAATTAGACCACCGCAGCACAGGAATGATTCTATTCTTGCCGAAGAAACGAAAAACGATGGTACAAATACCAAGAACGTTTTAACTGTCAATGTTTCGCCAGTCGATATATCAGAAGAAAATCGATCTTCCGAAATTCCAATAAGTGACAGCTCAATGGACCAGGAAAACTGCCGCGTGCGGGAATTGAACCCTCAGCCATCAAATATGACACGAGATACGAATAAAAAAGACGCCTGCTTGTCTTGCCAAAAAGATTCATTGAAATGTGAGACGTGTTGCATTGTCTTCAGTGACAGTGTCATGTATACTATTCACTTGGGTTTGCATTCTAAGTTGGACCCTCTGAAATGTAATATGTGTGGTTTTGTGGCTGAGAATCGTTACGATTTTGCTTCCCACATAGCGAGAGGAGATCACAAAACAACTTCGAGCTCTCCATCATCTCCCAAAAAAACTTTGTAAAACTATTTTGTGACAGAATTTATCTTAGCCTAAACCTATGTTTCTTAATTCTTTTAGCTGTTGTTCTTGCTTTTGTATTTATTGAAAGTTTTTTTTTTAATATTGGGATAGATTTCAGATTGCAGTGCAATATTTGATTCAATGTTTTCCATTTTCATTTACTCTTGTAATACGCTAAAACATGATTATCATCATGTAAATGCGTCTTCATTTACCAGTGCCTTCTTCTTTTCTTTCCAATATACCATATCATCACTATTGTAAATTTCATTGTCCTTAATACAATTTGACTTGATCCTCTTTTAATTCGAAAAAAAACGGAGAGGTTTTTTCTAGAAATTCTGCATCATACATTGAAGCAACATTGTGGAATTCATCGTACGAGAAAGATTGTGGAATTCATCGTACGAGAAAGATCAGTGGCGCAAAAACCTCAAAAAGTTATTCTCGAAGAATTGTTCTCCTTGAATGCGATACCACGCTCTTCTATCAACTTTTGATAGTTTACTTTATGAGCTACGTTTTCAATCTAACCAATTTCTAGGAGTGGAAGCTAACAAGAACTAATGCGGGTTTTCCCTTAAGCGTTAACCTGTACTTTGAAGAAATCCTTTCAGATTATCAAATTTACCAACATTTTGCAATTTCAAAAGGTTCCCCAAAAGATATTTAAGGTTCTCGCAATTTGAAGGTTCTCGAATGATAAAATGTTTTTTTTTTGTTACAGCTAACTCTACTTTATACAGCTAAAAGAATAAAAGTGAATTAATCTGAAAGTTAAATCACTAAAAGGTGATAGAGCATTCTCTCCGGCGGAGAGAATGAAAGTGTGAAGCTCAAACATATATGACCGGTTAAATCAATTGAATAAGATAATGAGATAAACTAGAATAAGTACAAAAGTGGAATCACATCAATCCTCAAAGCAGGAAAAAACTTATATTGCAAAAATAACTAATTACCTAACTAACTGCTCTTTTTCTCCCCTTCGAGGGCAAAAATGAAATTTTAAGCACCATATTTGTGCACTTAGTTAAGGTTAGATTTATCAATTGAAATTAATTTATGCAGTTAAACATCGATTTCGCACTGAATTTGAAGAAAATGACTGACATCCGACGAATGTAAAAGTAAAGGCTGACTAATAGATTCTGCAATAAGAGTTACAAAGTTAATTTTCATAAAATTCATTAATTTTCATAATTGAAGAAGGTAAGTATTGACCGCTAGATTTCTGAACAAACGAGCATTAGGTTAAATATAGAACGCTTGATCCGAAGGATTGTTAATAAGAAAATACAAGAGTTAAAAATCAGTTAGTGAAAATTATGAAATTTAGTTGTGGGAACGGTTAATGAAAAGAAAACAACCGAGTACAGTGGTATGAAGGAAAATGAGATTCGATTTAACAGTTTTTGTATTAGTTAATATAGTTTTCAAGCTCTGCATTAAATAGTTCACTGTCTAAGTCCGTATTTCCATCATAGTTGTCGATGGCAATTCTTAGAGATTCGTCAGTCGAAGAAGGAGAGTGTGTGCCCGACAGTGAAGAGTCCGAAAGTATAGTCAAATAATCGGGAGGAGTTTCGTGATAGGCTGATGTATGAGGTTCGTTGGGATTGTTGTTACCCAGGACAATCGGATTCGAGGCTGAGCCAGATGTTTATTCTATCTGATCTTTAATAACTATGAAGTATTTTTTTTTCGTAAAATTTTGGCAGGCCCACGTTTGGCAGACGTAGAAGCGGTTCGTTACCGGAATTAAGATAAGACTGATGATTGGAAGTAGCCTCGTCAGAGGAGACGACTATCTCATAGATCGGAAAATTTACTGGAAGTTCTTCACCGTGTGATTCAATTTTCCCATCTGTTGGATTAGTCTGTGGATTGAGGCTAGGACCAGTATTGACTATGTTTGCTTGTGAGGTGACGTCTGATTCCGCCGGGATGATACTAATTGGGCTTTGTGCAATTATGTCGTCGTTTGAGTTATCGTCTTAAATCTCAACCTTTATGTTGTCATTTGTATTACGAGGGCTAGCAGTGATGTTGTCGTGTTTTATAACATTTAGGCTATCGGAAACATTTCGGTCCCTAGCCACGTCTCTACAAGGAAAATCTCCTGCTATCCATTCCCAATCGCTAATATCAGAAGTATCCAAAGGAATGAACACCAACTCGTCAGAAGGTAAATAAACTGGAATAATGGTGGAATTCTTAGATCGGGTTGGCTGTCTTCGTGAAGGATTCGTTGATGATTTCGACGCCCTCGTCCTGGTATTGTTGTCTGAGGTTGCCAATTCTATTTGTTTTCTGGTCTTCGGTCCCTGTTTCTTAGATGGGTTTGGTTTTCATGGATTTGCACGACTCGTACCTACTTCAACATCAGCGTTAGGAAAATATGGGAAATATATGTTGCCTTTAAAGGATCGGATTTTAGAGAAATTCGATTTTGGAAGAGCGATGTCTGATTTTCCGATGATTTTTCCGTCGAATAATTCTGCAGTAGTACTAGAGGTGTTTACAATTTTTTAGTTTAGCTCTTTGTAAATTGGATTTCCATTGATGCTCTCATTCGTTTTCCGAAAAATTTAACCTTGAATGGACCATAAAGGGGCATTTTAGACGAAGAAGGTTTTGAGAGAGATGGGTAGTTCGATTCATATCCCTTGTCCAGAGGTGTCTGATTCTTCTTAGTGATCACGGTATCCTTATATCCATCCTCCACTCTATCGTCCGCATTCCAGTCCCAAGCTCTTGACTTGCAAAGTATCGATTTCTCCTTGTCTAAAATTCCATTGGAAGGTTTAACAGATTCAAGTTGTTTGCAAATAGTTTTTGGTTTTCTACTGAAATGTATTTCAAATGGAGAGCATTTAATTTTTGATTAAAAAGAGGACTGAAGGTTCCAGATAATTTTTGATATAGTGTCTTGTAATGTACACTTTTGAATTTCTTGAACCATTGCCAACAGTTTGATTTTTACAGTATGTATAGTTTTTCAACTAATCCATTGGAGCGATGGTCTCATACTGTACAAAATTTTAAATTAAATTTGTTGGAGTCACAAAATAATTTGAAATCCTGGCTTGTAAAACAGGATGCGTGATCTACTCGAAATGAGTATGCTATGAAGAAAGATATAATCTTGAAGAAATTCGATAACTGTTTTTGACGATGTGGATGTTGAAGTTTTTGGCGATGAAAATTTTGAAAACCGGTCGATGCAAAATAAAATGTATTTGTTTGTGCCCCAGTGGGAATCCAAAGGACCGGCGAAGTCTAAGTTGAGTTCTTCGTTTGGTTCAAGTAAGGGAGAAGTTTACTTGTTTGAGAATTTGGAACTAAACTTTTTAAATTCTTACCCGTTTTTGTACGTTCTGAACATTTTATGCCCTGGAAATAGATCTGTGTATAGGCCACCAGATGTATTGAGCCAAGTATTTCATTACGAATTGGCCGGGGTGTGTTTCATGTAGTGTGTTCATCATGGCGTTTCTCAGGGTAAAAGTAATGACTAATTCACCATCCATGTATAACAATCCGTCGGATTAGTGTAAGTCCCGTACCAAGTTGTGGAAATATGGAGAATTAGCATTGATTGTCTTGGCTTAATTTTGAAGTGCTTTCACGATTGGGCTCAACAGTGAGTCATCTTTGGTTAAGGGAGCGGCTAATTTTTGGTTAAGGGAGCGGCTAATTTGACTTCATATAAGGTATTTAAATCCAAAGGACGTTCGTGAAACTTCAATTTTTCGCGGTTTTTATGTACAAGTTTTTCGTCTTCAGATAACACAAGAAATTCTAAAGAAACTTGAATACCGGAAATGGACGGACTAATTACAGTTTTTTTTCCATGTTTACAGTATTTACATTTTTTCTATCTAAAGCAAAAATAATTATGCTACAATTGAGAAATAAAAAAATGCGGAATTAGAAATAGCAATTTTTGAAGGTAAACATTTGAATATTCCGAAGGAGTACATTTCGAAGTACAGAACTTTGTTCGATTATGATTTGAGTGGCTCTCTGTCAGGAAAAAATGACAATCATCGTGTGACCATCCATTTGAGAAAATCGGAAGTATCAATTTGCCGGTGATGTTGCTGGCATTGTCCGTGAACCCGCAGTTTAAGACCTTGTTTGCTTTATCCACTAGATAAATCTTTAAATACGGGTCCGGACTAGCAGAATCCACTTGGAGAATTACGATTATTTGATTTTATTTCCCGAAGCCAATAGTTAACATTTTTTTAAGTTCGTTTCCATCGTCGTCAAAAATTGTAGTTACATTTAATACAGAATAATCATCGTTTTCGCTGTCCGGATTCTGACCATGCATTAGTCACAGCACAGCATTCTCTAGTTACACGGTCCATATTGACATCCGGATGGTCCGAAGGAATAAAATCTGCATTATCAACAGTTTGAGTATTTACAATATTTTCCTTTTTACGATGGGATTTACGAAGCTAGTCAAGTGACCTTTATGTTTACATGATGTACAAGTCGTGTCCTTCGCTGGACAAAAAGCAAAGTGTCCTTTTGAGAATGTCCCGCCACATTTCATAAAGGCATTGCTGCGTTTGATTTTCAGGTTTGGCTCTGTTTTGACGCTAAAATGGTTATAAGATTTTTGTACGGATTAAAGCTATTGGTTATTTTCATGTGGTTAGATATTCTCTTTTCGTCTATCAGGGCAAAGTTGTGTGCCTCCAACAGTGGCAGAATTTCCGTCAGAAATTTTCTTTCTATGTCAGAACTTTCTTGTTGTTTGTAAAAATATCCCTTATCCATTCGTCGGAATATGTCACACTTTTTGGCCATTTCGGCTAGGGCTCCTCAAAATTAATCTAATGACTCTCTGTCACGTGGCTTTCTGTTGAACACTTTGTTCCTTTTGTGACGTTTGTTTTTCTGGCGAAGCCAGCTGAGAAACTTTCCCAAAACTCTTCGAAGGAAATTTGGAGTATTTTTACTTTCGTGAAATTCTGACCGAAGATTCTTTTTCCTTCATTTCCGAGGGCTATGTAGAGAATTGAACGGAATTTCTTGTCGGTTTCCTCTGTTCTCCTTCCGTTAATTTTTTTTTTCGGTTTTGATAGATGCCGCTCCTTCATC